TTAAATTGGATAATAATACCTAAAATAACTACCTGATAGAGAGGCGAAGTCCCGCCCATCTACTTCCGACCCATTGTGCCACGAATTACACATGTTTGTCAATCTTACAAAAAGAATTTCCATGTCAAAAAAGTCAGTTTGTTGTAAAACTGTTGAAATAAAAGACTATGAAAAATACGCAACTAGAAAGACTACAAATCCCAGAATCCCGGTCCCGCATGCTGGCTCTTAGGAACCGACTCACTCCCCTTGTGTGTATGCACAGCTCTCAACATGCCCAGACTTGGAGTGATTTTCACCTCTTTTAATACTTTTCGCCTCATTCTGAAAGAAAGAAGTGAAATGTGCCAACGTGACGGCCGTCTGGGTGTGTGGTGCCAGACGGGAGATGTAGTTCATTGAGCGGTTTCACACAAAAAAAAGTGTTACTTCACAGTTTTACGACACATTTTAATTTTTTTGACTTGCAAAATTATCTTTTAAATTGACAAACATCATATGTGTAATTCGTGGCACAATTCAAACGGGATCGGAAGATAACTTTTCTCTCGCCATTGACTTCAATACATACTTTTTCCGAAATAAGGTCCCATGGAGGTCCCCCGGAAAGGGAGGGACTTCACCTCTCTATATGTTCAAGGCACTATACTCAACATGATACTGTCAAATATTTGTTGTCTTCTCTAAACAAGAACCCACTAACTTTACAACTTGGGAAAATACCAGAGGGAATTAAAAAACTAAAGATTCCTACTTATTTCTCGTAACAACAATAACAATTATGAAACTAATTACAAGGAATTGGTTAAAAGATAACAATTAAATATCAAATTGTTTGTTTGTTTTTCTCCTTTCCTGATTTGGCGATTGTTATGTAGTTATTAAAGTGTTTATTTTGGTATGTATGCCTTGCAATCAAATATTTTACTTAAAATGCAAAATTGGGGATGGAGAGTGAGTTTGTGGAGGTGATAAATATTCAACAGCTCCTCCGAAGAAGTTACTGCCCCCCGTCCCCCCCCCTCCTGTGTGTCCTCTCCATGCCAGAAAGCAGATGGAATGTGAGGCGGCTCCAGTCTGGTTTTATCCAATTAGCAGGGTTGTCAAAATGAATTTATCCACGGAGGCAGCGGGACAATGGCCCCGGGAGAACAGGGGCCCCGGTGTCTTTACTTAGCACGCTCACAATGAACTTCTGTCAAGTGACTCTCCCACCACGACATATAAGGCACTCTCATACCTACACACACACACACACATGCCTGCACATAGTCGCCAACAACATGGGACGCTCTGCTCATCGAGCTTCACCCTCGTCCAGCTTTAAGTCCTTAAAGTCAAGACACAGGTTATCCACGATCAATTCTGAAGTCCTTGAAGGAAAGTCACACGCCTTTTTATAACCAAAAGTCAAGATGCTCCCTGAATGTTTACCGTAAAGTATCACAGGCTTTGACATTTTTTATTTCCTGGGTTCTGATTCTTAAACCACATCCCAGGATAAAAGCTGAAAAGCATTGATCAAATACCAGAGCTGTTTTTTCCAAATTTAAAAACTGCATATCACATTACAAGGAACTTAATTGAATAGGCCTGAAAGTGCTATGGCAATAAAAGCTGAATGTTACTTTGAACACTTTTGTAGTGACATTGACAAAGAATTAGTGTTTAATGTGGATCATTGACTTCATGGGCAATATCCTATCCGTATAATGAGGTCAGTATTTTTTTAACACAGTTTCTTTCTGAGTGCATGTATGTAATAAATGAAAAGACAATGTGGGTCCATGCAAGGCCCACCTGTTGCAGGAGCTGGGTTTTCTTAAGGCATTTCAGTAGTAGTCTCAAATGTTAAAAATCAAAGCAGATGTACACAACACTATATTGTGAATTATTAAGTATCAGACTGAACAACACAACTTTGAATCGGACCAACTTTCTGCAGAGAAAGACTCGTTTTGATCGCTTACTATGGGAGTTTTTTTTTATAATCCCATGATTTTACATATTCAACATTTTTTCCCTTCTTTTTGGGTCAACTAACTCAGATCTCACCGTGGTTAAGTGTCAGTTCCTCCACATGATTACACAAATAGATTGACTCTCCTATAATCATCAACCTGCAGCAGAGCAGGCAGATCTGAGAGCAGTTCACAGAGTTCTCCTCACTGCAGCGTCACTGAAGTATGTTTTAATTCAACAAAGTGTTGGACACGCAGTGCTCACTTGTAAGGCTTGAACAGAACAGAACAGTCACGTGAACACATTAACACGCACGCACATTCCCCTGGTTCCTAATTTAGGAGAGCTGTCTGTGTGCGTGCTCTGGTTTTTATCAGTCTCGCTGATGCGTAGGAGGCTCCTCTCTGCGACTTCTCCGGGAAGGATGGATGGAAAAAGTTGGACGTGGATGTCAGGGCCAACTTTTCATCTTGAGGCTGGGTATCCGCTAAGCAAACACAGGACCCAGCTGACTAATGATTCAGACAGACTGTTTTTAGGGAGTGATGATGTACGAGAGGCCTTCTCATACTCTATCAGAGCTCTGTCTCTTCTCCTGTCTCCCTTTCATTTCTGTGGGAACTACGCCATGTTCTCATTGGTGAAGTAGTGCGTGTGGTTTACGGTTGGTGACTCTCGCAGTTGGGACAGGTGTTTGGTACAGATGTGTGTTTTTATGGGCAGTCGTCCTCGGTGTGTCCATACAGAGACCAGACTACTGAAGCCACAGAGCGTCAGCTTGGCTTAGTGTTTGTTTACTGAGTAAGCCCACTACTGATGGGTCACTGAGGAGGAGTGAGGGAATTAAGCTCTACATGTATCTGCTGGGGTCTTATCAAAGAGGCCCTATTATGCTTTTTGAGGTTTCCCTTTGTACAGAATACAAATATGAGCCTGAAAATTAGCAGAATAGCAGGTAAACCTAAACTGCTTAAATTGCCTCTCACAGCTCACGGGTCACATCTTAAAATTGCGAGTGTTTCAATAACAGTAAAAAAACTAAGATATTATATGTTCACAAAATAGCGAAGAGCCACACATTTGAGAAGCTACAGCTAATGATTGACATGTTTTAATATTTATTTTATACATGTGGATAATTATCATCTGACTTTTTAGTGTCTTTTAAGCTTGTTTTGTTTTTTCCGGCCCACGACTGTACTTTCTTGATTCACTCTCTCAGCTCACATTTAATATGTTAGGTCACAACTTTAAAAAAAAAAAATCAAACGAGCTTGCGGCACTAAACATAACACAGAAAAATAAGCTGTTAAAAGTCAACATCTTGAAGAATTTAGCTGCTAAAGAGCCAAAAGCTGGTGGCGACCAAAAGAGAGAGACTTGCATTCATTAGTCAGAAACTCGACTCCAAACTGCATTAGCCTAATAAATTAATGAAGCAATGATTCATTTATCGACTAATCATTACAGTTCTGTTGGGCTGGAGTTAATCACGGCTCCTTATGTCGTGAGAATTAACAATCTCAAATTGTTTACACGCATCCATAATATGCAATCAAAGCGTAGCAGCGCGATGTGTGGCGAGGCTAACCGCAGATTTTCCGCCGGCCTGCTGCTTCGCTCATTTTCAATAAATGTGCCAGGCAGCCAAACATTTTCACTGTTGCCATTTAGATGATGGAGGTGCACTGTAAGATTTTCCATTCTCTTACTGTCCTGCTTTGGCCTCTTGTGTGTGTGTGTGTGTGTGTGTGTGTGTGTGTGTGTGTAGTCCCAAGTCACTCTGAGCTTCATCAATCATCCCCTTGCCATAATAAGACCAGGACAAATATGTATGAGAAAGTTTTGAGCTCCATCGTTGCAGAATATGCCCTTTAAGTGTGTGCATGTTCAGCGAAATGCATGTATACGCTATAGAGACGGAGAGGGGGGGGGGGGGGGGAAGGAGAGTTTTGCAGGACCACCCTCCTCATCCTGACGGGAAGTTGTTAGTTTAACCTGACAGGAAAGAATTTGGAAAAACTTGGCAGTAAGCGACAAGGGAGAGAGGAAAGCTCCCCTCTCTGCATTAACTGTTAATAGACTGTCCATTACCATCTCCATTTTCCTCCCCATGCATACTGCCCATAATAAAACCCTCCATCTCTCACACACTCCTCGATATGTATTTCCCTCCCCCTCCTCTTACTGCCTCTCATTAGTCGTTCTTTGTCCTGACTCCTGAATGCAGCCTGTGTGTGTTTCCCCCTCTACCTGTATCGGTTACACCTGAGCGGGAAGGTGCAGGGGTCGGGTTACGGCCCGCAGAATGAGGCGTCCCTTTGATGGGCGCTGGCTGGATGCAGGCGGAGGGTCAGCGTAGGATGGGGGCTGGCAGAAAATAAAGGGTTTATTTGTGTCTGGAGTTTGGCAGCTGAGGGTACCGGGGTTGTGTTTCCTTAATGGCCGCCTGTTTGTGTACGTGTGTGTGTATACAAGTGAGCGGGGTTACTTCAGAAATGTAGTCCGTTGCTCCCCAAACCCTGCAAAGAAGATGGGTTATGAATCAAGATCGGCTGTTTGGATACTCGAAGTTTTGTGTGATTGTTTCAGTGAGAATACATTTTATTTTGTTTAAGGTACCAAGTTTTTAAATGACCCTCTGACCTTCCTCTTTGTGTTTCCTATTTCCTTCTGACCTCTGTGTTGCAAGGTAAAGCCCAATCAGCAAAAATGTGATCGCTCCATGGTTTTCAAATGAGAGAACTTGCTGCCCTCTTAGTATGTGTTCTGACTTTTCAATAATGGTTATCTTCAGTAACTGTATGCACGAAGAAATGTCAACCCCTCGCCTGGTTTGTGTTTCTTTAATGGCCGCCTGTTTGTGTACGTGTGTGTATACAAGTAGCTTTTGAATCAGGATCGGCTGTTTAGACGCTTGATGTATGTTTCCAAGTTTTGCTAGCTTTGTGTGTTTGTTTCAAAGTGGTTTATGCTGTTTGTTTTAAACGTACCAACTCTGTGAGTGACCCTCTGACCCTCCTCTGTGTGTGTTTCAGGGGGTAGTGTATGGAAGATGTCTGGAAAGCGAGACTGGACTCCGTGGATGAAAAAGAGAAGGGCTCCAGTGTTGTGCGCTCTGGGTGCAGTGCTGCTGTGCTGCCTGCAGGGCGGCGCCTGTCTATCTGGTGAGTACACAAACTAACAACCTGCAGAAATGATCCGTTCGTGGGCTTTCTGTCAAACTGTTTATCACTGACTTTCTGTATGAATGCCTTGTATTAGTTTTTCCAAACACCTGGTGCAGGATAAGTCTTGCCAAGAACAAAATCTCCTGGCACAGTCTCAGTTAGGGGGGGACGTTATACGTGCGTTGGCAGCAGGAACAGCAGTTTATTTGAAATGAACTGAAGAAGTGGGTAGTTTGAGTCGTACCAGCCAACATTAATGAACTGAGACAGAAAAGAAGTACTGTGCTGCAGCGATTAGAGCAGTAAGTGAGCAATACATCATAAATGAAATGGTTTCAGGTTCGCCAAATGCTAGGATAAGCTTCTTTCTTACTACATATTAAGACTTATTGATAATGTTAATAGATGTCCAACGAAAATCCAAGGTGTTGCATTGCTGGAAACATTTGACTATATGCTGATTGGCAAATAAAACAAAATTGTTATGTCATTCTGACCTCTGCTGCATGTATATATTGTTTTAAAAAATACTTTTCTACCAATGAATCATCCAAAAAGGTGGTCCATTATTGAGTAGTACATGGAAAGGACATTAATGGACCACCTTTTTGGATGATTCATTGGTAGAAAAGTATTTTTTAAAACAAAAATGCCCAAATTTGATAGCTACATCGTTTTCAAATCAGGAGAATTTGCTGCCCTCTTAATATTTTTGGGGACTTGTTAACTGTATGTATGTCAGAAGATATCACACTGCTAGTCACATGGAAATGTCTTTAAACTCCGATTTAGGAATAAAATAAGTGTCCCATGCTTTTCTTAAATGTGCTTGCTGACCTAACCCTTTTCCTTTTAGATGAGGTGCCATTCTTCACTGAGGAGCCCATGTCCGTGGTGCAGAAGCTGGGCGGCAGCGTGAATCTCCGCTGCAGCGCCCGGCCGACCTCCGCCAACATCAGCTGGCGCCTGAACGGCATGGAGCTGCTGGACGGGTATCTGGGTGTGGTTCTGGGCCCCAACAGCCTGTACATCCCCACCCTGTCCAACCTGACTGTGGGCCGATATCAGTGTGTGGCCAGCACCAACGCAGGGTCCCTGGCTAGCGTTTCTGCTAACGTCACCGCTGCCAGTGAGTAGCCGCTCACACAAAGGGAGACAAATAAACACAAACACACACAGACTTAATGTTCCTTGATTAAAACAAAAACAGTGTAGAGACTTTATTTGTCACAACTCTGTAAACTTTTCCACTGCTGAGCGTCTAATCTTCACCAACTCCACTTCTGATCATACACACATTGATGGTAACACTCACTGATTGTCAGAGATGGCAAAAGTACACACATGCTTTACTCAAGTAGAAGTACAGATACTCGCATTTAAAAATACTCTGGTAGAAGTACTGACTAAACTTCTTTACTCAAGTAAAAGTAAACTTTGAAATGTACTTAAGTAAAAAGTACCCATAACTAGCAGCTGTTTTAAAGAGTACCTGACCTCCCTTTATATTAATAGAACAATAATGTCATTGTTAGCTAATGAATGTTTCCATGCTGAACAACGGCAACATGACAACGTTTTCATTGGTCCCTCTTCTTTAGAGAAGACCAGGAAATGATGGATACACGGATCGTGTTCAAATCAATAGGCACGCAATGACTCTAAATAATAATGATCACGCCACCAAACACACATTCAAACTAAAGGAACCAGCCTGTTTGGGAAATGTGAGAAGTAGAAAGTACAGGTATTTGGGTTCAACATGTAAGAAGTAGAAAGTACAGGTATTTGTGTTCAAAATGTAAGAAGTAGAAAGTACAGGTATTTGGGTTCAACATGTAAGAAGTAGAAAGTACAGGTATTTGTGTTCAACATGTAAGAAGTAGAAAGTACAGGTATTTGGGTTCAACATGTAAGAAGTAGAAAGTACAGGTATTTGTGTTCAAATGTAAGAAGTAGAAAGTTCAGGTATTTGGGTTCAAATTGTAAGAAGTCAAAGTAAAAAGTCGTCAGAAAAATAAGTAGTGGAGTAAAGTACTGATACCAGAAAAATGTACTTAAGTACAGAAACGAAGTATTTGTACTCCACTCCTTCCCACCTCTTGTGATTGTTTAGTCTGTGTAACAGCTGCTTTAATGCACTGTCATTGATCTAATGAAGTTGTTCTCAGCTGCGGACACTTCACTGCTCTGCTCTGAGTGTGCGTTATATTTGATATGCATCCTGGGACCGAGCAGGGGCCCGAAAGCTGTGTAACTTGAGCCGGAGGAATGGAGGGGACCCAGGGGCCGGTCAGAGCTGGAAGAGGGGACTCCAGCCTGGGGGCCCCCTGCTTCCATCGGCCCCTCTGCTTCACACAACACCACATTCCTCTCCACAGGGCCCGACAGCAGGGCTCGGCAGAAATTATGGCCCCGTAATTGGGTAAAGGGCTTGGGGGGAGATAAGAGGGTGTGTGAGAGAGGGGGTGGATAGAGGGTGGATGGTCTCAGTAGAACACACTATTAGGTTTAAACACTGATGTAAAGTACTTGGGTACAATTTGGAGGTACTTGTACTTTACTTGAAGAGTTCAATTTGTGGTACTTTGTACTTCTACCCCACTACAATTAAATGGTGTACTTTTCCTCCACTACATGTATTTAATACCTTTAGTTACTTTACAGATCTGGATGAATGATGTGAAATATAATCAAGTGTTAAATCAGACTTTAGTTCCACCTGGAGTAAATTCACAAGCTACCCTGCAGTATACAAAGTCATTCAAACTAGCTGCACCTTTACCAGCTTTGAGAACACTTTCATGATCAATCATTATAAAACATATCATATATATTATTCTGAAATGGACCAATCTGCACAATGACTACTTTTACTGTCGCTACTTTCACTATATTTTTGATGCTGATACTTTTACTTGAGTAACATTTTGATGATATGGCTTTTACTTGTAACAGAGTATTCCTACACTCTGGTACTTCTACTTTTACTTAATATCTCAGTACTTCCACCACCTCTGGGTACACACAGTGTGCTGTTAGCTGTATTGTTTTACATTTTAGAGATGTGATGTATGAGGCTGGAGAAACTGGAGGAGTTTTAGACCAGTCGAGACAAGATCCTCACACAAGATGAGACGTGATGTCACATTCTCTGTCTCCTTTACCCTCCACACACACACACACTCACACATTTATCACTCCCCACCCTGTCACTTTCTCTGCTCTCTTGCCTCCTTTCATTATCTTTCACTTTCCCCCTCTCTTTTGTCATCTCCGTGTTTTTATTATTTGATTTCTGTTTTCCACCGAGGCAGTTAACGTTATTGATAGTGGATGAATCGTGTTGAGATAACCACATGTGGAGCCAGACCGTGTGTCCCGCCTCCCCCTAAAAATCCTCTCATTTAATAACGGTCTCTCCTCGGCCACCCCCAAACTGCCTCAGGAACTGCTCCGCGGGGAGTGTGTACGTGCCTGCTTTTCCACTCTTTAGTTGTGCGCACATGTTTTTTTGTGTGATGGGGATAGGTTGATTCCAGACCCTCTTTGCTCTTTTGGCATAAGTTAAAAGCACCTCCAATTCTTCTGCAGACTCCCCTTCGTCGCTGCAGAAAACAGAGACATGTATCTGCGCAACATGTTGCACAAACATGTTGTAATTCAGACACACACACACACACACACACACACACACACACACACACACACACACACGCGCACACACACACAGGCCTCTCACTGCTACACATAAAGATGATGAATCTCTCTACAGAAATATTTGAGTCTGCCTTTTGCCAAGCAGCGCTGGTGCGGGAGGTCTGCTTTACTTTATGAATACCATCAATCCTACATCCCTGCAGGATACACACACACGCACGCTCACATGCACGCACACACACCTGAGAGGCACCCATGCGGGGTTCTTCCTGTGAAGAATGTGGTGGGGGGGTTAAAAGGTGTAACTGGAGGAATTTGGTAGAAGCAGGCAGGAGGAGGAAGGTGGGATGGGGAGATATGAGGGGAAGGGGGGGGGTGGTGGTGGCTGTAAAAACAGCATCTGATTGATTTAGCAAATGGAGCGCCACAAGGTCCCTCTTTGAGGCTTTTTTCACCCAACACACACACACACACACACACACACAGACACACACACACTGACACACTGCTTAGCTTGACATGTCTCGGCTGGGATTCTCATCTTTCAGAATAAGAGCTGAAACAGAGTTGTGTTTAAGTGTGTGTGTGAGTATGTTTTTGTGTCTTTGCCACACACAGTCAGAGGGACAGGGTGAAATAAATCAGTGACCTGCAGTGTTTGCTCAGCGCTTTGAGTAAATCACCACGGCGTCGCTATCAGTAGATACCGGGCCCTTGACTAAACTGTCCTTATTGAATTAGAGCTGTATACAAAGCCCCCGTCAGCTGACTGTATACCAGAGAGGGGACCGCTCCAAGAAAAACACCCCGGTTATAGCACCTCTGGAAAGAATGGAGAGTGGCCGTGTTTGTTAGGAATAAATCAACAGAGGCTGGTTTAATTCCTGCAGAAGTTTTATTTATCTTTCATTTCACTGCGCCACTCATGACACATTTCTCCACTTTGTTTTCCCCCTGCTCCCTTCAGTCTCATTTTAGTTTTCCTCAGCTACAAATCTGAAATGGCAGCATCCCCCCCCCCCCCCCCCCGCTGACATTATTTTTTTCCGGCCTCTTAAGAGCAGAGTTTAGCCGTTTCCTCCCGAACCCAAACTGGATATCTTTCTTTGAAACCCTATAGGATGGACACCTCTCAACTTTGACCTCTTGGCCAGGCCTCCGGGCCGCTCAGGAGGAGGGGGGGGGGGTGGGGTTTAGGAGGTCAGAGGTCACATGAGTGTCTGTGCTGTGCAGACTGAGAGTCTGCGGGACACAGTCGCAGCACATGGCCCCAGTAATCCCACAGAATCTGAACCCAGTCCTGGTGTAATGTTTGACAGGATTAATGACACCTCCTCCAAAGTTACAGACGCCACTTTCAGGCTTACCCAAAAGTGACGTGAACTGACAGAAAACAGAAAATCAGATAAACTTCAAGGAAATCATGTTATTAGAAGCACTGGGAAATATATGACTTAATGGAGGTTTTCCTTCAAAGACATTGATTTGGGAATGTGGTTAAGACACAAAGGGGGAATTTGGAGCGACGCCCACTAAGCAGTTTATTATTGCTCCGTTTATTGTGGTCGTCTCGCTCTAAATGTGTCGTTAGATGTGATTTACACTGTGTATTAAAGATGATGAAAGAATGGCGACAGCGCTGACTTCCCCCTCGCCTGTGTGTGTTTTTCAGAGCTGCGGGACTTCGAGCCCGACGACCAGCACGACATCGAGGTGGACGAAGGCAACACGGCGGTCATCGAGTGTCACCTCCCCGAGAGCCAGCCCAAAGCGCAGGTCCGATACAGCGTCAAACAGGAGTGGCTGGAGACTTCCAAAGGTACCGGATCGTCGGCAATCTGTCCCCACTTCCCTCTCAATTCTCATACTATCTTCATAGTTTACTGGAATGCCATAATCCTGCTATCAGGCCCATTATAAAAGCAGCGATAAGGGCATTATCTGGACAATGTTGAAACATGGGAATCCAGTTGTTTATTTGTTCAAACTATTTAGAAGAAAAGCTCCAGTGGTTTGTGGCTGGTATGCTGATGATGCCTGGGAGCTGTAGGTACTGATATCTGCAGCTTATCTGTGAGGAAATGAAAACCACATTGACGGGCACTCAGTGATTGGGGCTCAGACTCCAGGGCGCCATCTTGTGGTTTCCGCTGACAGTACTAACGCTTGAGTGGCACACTACTTATACAAGAGTTTCACAATATGGACTCAATTGTTCTGCGGTTCCTCTTTGTGTTTGTCATATTTTCTTGCATGTATTTCCACATAGAAATTCCTTTCTAGTGAACAGAAGTATGATGAATATAATTACACGTTATAGTACATTGCTTTCCCAGCTGTTAATCCTCCTCACCACCCTGCATTTTTGTGTGTACAATATTTTATTGTATTGTTTTCTTTGCAATTGTGAGATATATAAATACAGATCCTGAAGAATTACAAAACACCCTCAACACCAGGCCAAGACACACTTAAGCATTTGATGTAACGGCTGCTTTAACGATTAGTATCCATTATCAAAACAGTTGGTAATTTCTCTTTTTAGGGAAAGAACAATTTGCAGAAAGACAATCATTCAGGATGATTGTTACAGACCATTTTCCTGATATAAATAGCTGTAATCATGCATTTTAGCGCATTGCGGGATTATTATGGACGTTTTAGTCGTGCTTACTTTTGGTTTTACTTCAGATAAAGTGATAGAAATTATATATAAAACGTCCTATAAAATTATCTCATTACAATGTTTCCCATCATACTGCAATTTTCTTTTCTGCACAGTCGCTTCTTAGCACAGCGTCAGAATGCAAAATTGGATCCTAACGTTGTATTTAATTAAAGTGTTTGCTCATCTGACATCAGGTTTGTTTATTTCTGCAGGGAACTACCTCATCATGCCGTCAGGGAACCTGCAGATCGCCAACGCCACTCGGGACGATGAGGGGTCGTACAAGTGTGCCGCCTACAACCCCGTCACTCAGGAAATCAAAACATCGTCCTCCACCGACCGCCTGCGTATACGCCGTGAGTCTCACCTCCAACAAGGTTTTTTTTTACTAACATTACAAGTCAAGGGTCATACTGCATCATTATCGGAGAGCTTGTAACCGTCACTGTAGACACATCTGGTAAACACTTGTGACTTCTATCCTCTTATCTCTGCCTTTGAAGATGCAGAAACATAAATCGTTCAGGATCAAAGAGTTTGGACTTCACATTGTGATTTTAAATCCTTTGTATTCTGGATGTGTTAAGATTACCCTACGTTTGTCCTCCTAAGTCCTACAATTGGTGACTCTGTAAAGCACACTGAGACAATCGTGTTTTGTGATATTGGGCTATATAAATAAACTTTGATTTGATGTAATTAACTCCACATAATGCATACAGGAAAGACGCCTTCACCTCATATTGATAAAGTATTCATAGAAATAAGAAAGATAAGATAGGACTCTATTCAACCCGAAGGAAATTGTTGTGCCAGTTACAAAAATACAATAAACACAGCAGCACAATAATAATAAAACTGTACAGTAACAGTGCAGTAAAAAGAGCCATTCAATAACTACAGAAAAAACATAGATGGTCACATAATTAATGTCAATATTCATACCTTTCGTCCTCATATTTCCCAGGCTCCACCTCCGAAGCGGCTCGCATCATTTACCCCCCGGCCTCTCGCTCCATCATGGTGACTAAAGGCCAGCGGCTGGTGTTGGAGTGTGTGGCCAGCGGCATCCCCACCCCCCATGTCATATGGGCCAAAGACGGGCAGGAGCTGCGTTCCCATAACAACACGCGCTTCCTGCTCAGCAACCTGCTGATCGACACGGTGGGCGAGGCCGACTCGGGCACCTACATCTGCAGAGCGGACAACGGCATGGGCTCCGACAGCTCTGCCACGGTGCTCTACGACGTGCAAGTGTTCGGTGAGTGGAGTGAAAGCTTTATTAGGGAATGGAGTTTATGAATTTGCCTTTTTGTCCCGGTTAATAGACAAATTGCAAAGTTGTTGTTGCAATGAGATTAAATAACCTCTTATTACGACAGAAATATAAAAAAACGTATATATATGTGTGTGTGTGTGTGTGTGTGTGTGTGAGCAGCATGTAAGCTTGGTGTTGTGTAAGAGAGTTTGTGGAGACAGAGCGCTCTATTCTGCAGCTGATTGAGTGTGTCTAGGTTATGGATGGCTGTTTTTACAGTGATTTTCTTTGTTAGTATATGTGTGTGTGTGTGTGTGTGTGTGTGTGTGTGTTGAGGGCTTGTCTCTCTGCAGCTGGCTCTAATTAAAGCCAGAGAGCTGCTGTAATGAGTTCTGTCTTTCCCTGATTCACAAGCAGCCAACCATCAACTCCCCGGCCGGGCCCGCCGGCATGGCTCTATACCCCTCTGTCACACACACGCACACACACACACACACACACACACACATACACATACACATACACACCTGCATGCATGATTGGGATTTCATGCACACACATGCTCAAACACGTGATATTGTTTTAAGTCAAAAAGTAGTCGTGGAAAAAATCTGTTTCTGTTCCCATTTGGCCCCTCTGCCACCAAATACACACACTTACTGGACATAAAATACACACTGTTTTCACACACATGTAAATATATCTGATATGTATACATGACCAAATATGTATATATGTTTGATCCATTTCTTATTTTATAGTTATTTTTTTATTTGTATCTTTGATTTTATCCTTAACGGGCCGTCTCCACGGCAGCGTTAAAAAAATCTTGGAGGTGGGCGTATCTGAAGCTTGGGGATTTTTTTGCGATCAACCAATCACATGAATCTCCCGCCCGCGACATACGAAGCCAAAAAGCCCGAAGTAAAATGGATATAAACTCCCCAAAACAGGCGAAAACATACCACTGTCTCTGCCACCTCCCTCCATGCCTGGCTCCTCCGGTTTATATCCCGGTAGGTCTGGTCATAAAGCACCGGGTGATTAATTCGCTACCGCTAATTTCTCCTCCATTTTTTGGAATATGAGGAAATGATCTGCGGTATGTCTCTCCCAGCATACACGCCGTTTGATTGGCTAGAGCTTGAACTGTCAGATTTGCGTACACGGGATTTGATTGGCTGACGCTTCCTCCTCAGCTTCAAAAGTTGAACATTGTTCAACTTTGGATCTTGAAAATCCTGAGAATCTCCGCTCGCCTGCCCACAATGCATTTCGGCGAAAGCGAAAAAAAAGTGACGTCACCCCATTCAAAGTGAATGGGCAGAAGCGTTTCAAGATTTTTTAACGCTGCCGTGGAGACGGCCCGTAATTGTATTCATCTGTGCTGTCCTGTTTTTCATCCTTATCCTGTTGCTGTTAAACTACTGAATTTTCCCACGGGGGTTAATAAAGCCCTACCCCTGCCCTATGAACAGCTACAAATCCAAGCTACTTTTTAAGTTTTGAACCAGCCACTAACTCCCCCCTCCCCCCTGCAGAGCCCCCCCAGGTGACGGTGGAGCTGCTCCAGCAGGAGGTGGTGTTCGGGGAGACGGTGCGTTTCTCCTGCAAGGCTCGCGGTAAACCCACCCCCTCGGTGATGTGGCTTCACAACGCCCGGCCCCTCGCCCCGTCTCCCCGCCACCGCCAAACCGCCAAGATGCTGCGCGTCTTCAACGTGGGCCCCCAGGACGACGGGCTGTACCAATGCATGGCCGAGAACCAGGTGGGCAGCTCCCAAGCCTCCACGCGCCTCATCACTGTATCAACTGGTACGTCAGATCATTTGTAATCTGGGGCCCTTTTTTTCAAATTTCCCAATCATTCCTGATTAAACTTTTGCATTTTGGAGGGGTCCCAACACTGGACGGGTTGTCACAGCGACATTTATTGTTTATTATTAACATTTTTGTTTTAGCTGACTGGTTTTCTATTTATTTATTTGTTTGTTTGTCTGTTTTTGTATGTCTGTTTGTCTTCTGTCTGTGTGGAATTTTGTTTGCCTTGGTGTTGAGCAGTATTTACATTGTTACTCTACCTATTCTTCTATAAAGGGAAGATTTGTTTACCTACTTTTGATACACGCTCTGATAGAATAACTGTATGCTGTTGAAAAAACCCAATAAACTAATTTTTTTATGTCTTAAGATTTTCATTTACTAGATTCTTCCATTGTCGTTTCTTTCTTTTAGGAATTACATCCAGGGGGAAGCTGCCCACTATCTACAAGCCTGTCAGCCCCGATAAGGTGCTTAAAGAGCAGGCTCCTGTGAGGCCTGGGCCTTCGGGGGCCATGTTGCCTCTCGACTGCTCTGAGCTGCCGGGACAGATCCTCCCAGCCGACGCTCCCATCATCCTCAGCCAGCCCCGCACAGGCAAGGCTGATTACTACGAGCTCACCTGGAGGCCGAGGCACGAGAGAGGAGTCCCTGTGCTGGAGTACATGGTCAAATACAGAAAGGTACTGCAGTCACACCACTGTGTTCTAATTTAATATCAACAATGATACTTGTAGGAGCCAAAATGCTAAGCTAGCCTCTCTCTCTCTCTCTCTCTCTCTCAGGTGGGAGTCCCTCTGATGGAGTGGACCTCCAGCTGTATATCAGGCGCTCTCCATAAGCTGACTCTGGCCAAGCTGCAGCCGGACAGCCTGTACGAGGTGGAGATGGCCGCCAAAAACTGTGCTGGTCTGGGACAACCTGCCATGATGACCTTCAGAACTGGCAAAGGTAAAAACGCTGTCATTAGCATAGTCATTGAGAGCAAGTTAGAAGCGTACATTAGCATTTAGCCAAGCCAAGTACAGCCGGCCTCTGGGTATGAAAAGAGAAGACAATGCAGTAGTGAATGCTCTGTTATATGGTCAAACCCACTGGTTGCAAAGAGAAATCTTTAAAAAATGCTTCTCACTTGATTTATTACCTAACCAAACATTTTCAATTCATTTTTGTTTAGTAAAATATAGGAGGTTGTTAAAATGACATTCTGCCTTAGAGGAGACTTCAAAACATGTTACGTTGCTCAAAAGACGATTTCTTTGTTTCGTCTAACTGGTGTTTTTTATCTTCAGGTCGCAGAGGTCAAATGGACCCTCCAAAAACTCCTGCTGTTCCTTCACCAAGCCTCTCTCGTAAGTGTACCTCATAGGGTCCATTTGCAAACTCTTTCTCCTACTAACCTTACTAAAATAACTGTAACATGCTATGCAAAACTTCTAACCCTTCTCCTTTTGACTAACTTCTCAATCTCTTTTTCCTTTCTGTCCCTGAAGGATGAGCTCTCAGTAAGTGCTTAACATAGTTTTTCCTCCACCGTCATATTTAAAGAATGTTGTGTGAGAGTGTATGTCCTCTATCTGACTCCGTCCCTCCTCCTCTGCAGCTCCTGAAGCCCCGGACAAGCCCACAGTCTCCACTGCAACGGAAACGTCGGCGTACGTGACTTGGATTCCTCGTGGTAACCGCGGCTTTCCCATCCAGTCGTTTCGGGTGGAGTACAAGAAGGTGAAGAAGGCTGGAGAAGACTGGGTGACTGCGGTGGAAAACATCCCCCCATCTCGCCTCTCTGTGGAGATCACGGAGCTGGAGAAAGGTTGGCCATCTCCTTTAACTTATTATTATTCACAGTTGTTTGTCTTGACTTGATGGAGGCGGGGGCGGGGGCGGGGAAGAAGATGCCGTAACATATAATTACAACGCTGATGTCCTTCATAATTACATTCCCACGGCCTGTAAATTCATCAGCATAATGAGTGTTGTTACAGTCATTTCAGTAATTGCTGCCATCAATCACAACCAGATCGCACAAAAGGAAAACACGATGTGATGTGAAGACAAACATCATCAGTCTGCACAAAATAGACCCCATTTCTAGACGCCGTGTTCCCCCCCAGAGACGCATTAATAATGGCTATCCCTCTCCCTGTAGGTACCTCCTATAAGTTCAGAGTTGTGGCGGTGAATGTAATCGGTTCCAGTCCTCCCAGTGCGCCCTCCAAGGCCTACACGGTGGTGGGGGGGAGGACCCATGAACGCCCTGTTGATGGACCCTACATCACATACAATGAAGCCATCAATGAGACCACCATCATTCTCAAGTGGACGGTGAGTGACAGACAGATAGATAGATAGATAGATAGACAGATAGATAGATAGTTAGATAGATAGACAGATAGACAGATAGACATATAGATAGATAGATAGACAGATAGATAGATAGACAGACAGATAGATAGATAGATAGACAGACAGATAGATAGACAGATAGACAGATAGATAGATAGACAGACAGATAGATAGACAGATAGACAGATAGATAGATAGATAGATAGATAGATAGACAGATAGATAGATAGACAGACAGATAGATAGACAGATAGACATATAGATAGATAGATAGACAGATAGATAGATAGATAGATAGATAGATAGACAGATAGACGGATAGACGGATAGATAGACAGATAGACAGATAGATAGATAGACAAATGAAATTATTTTGTCCCAGCAGCAGTGTTGTCAAGCATTACACATGAGTTAAAGAATAGAATGATACAAATATAATACAAATGTACATTAACAGCAAATATATACATATTATATCTATATATTCACAGTAGAAAATACATGTATCACTAGATTATCTACATAATACACAATATAGAGAAAATATTGAATACATTTGAGTACAACTCTACTAAGCAACATGTATATACTACAGAAACCTATAGACATTGGGTAATATATACCACAACAATTGTGCAAATTGTTGTGGTATATAGAAAAGGAGACTCTTAACAATGTGTTTTTATTTATCAGGATACACAGTGTTTGTTATTGCAGTTTATTTCCAGTTCATTGTGATTGCAACATGATTTACCCCCCCCCCTCGACAGTACACTCCCGTAAACAACACGCCCATCTACGGTTTCTACATCTACTACCGGCCGACGGACAGCGACAACGACAGCGACTACAAGAAGGACGTGGTGGAGGGGGACAGATACTGGCACTCCATCGCCGACCTGCAGCCGGAGACCGCCTACGACATCAAGATGCAGAGCTTCAACGAGAAGGGCGAGAGCGAGTTCGGCAACGTGGTGATCCTGGAGACCAAAGGTGGGGTCCTGGTTTACTGGGGGGAGATTTCACTGCAACACACACTAGCTAATATCTGTTCCTGAGTCACCATTAACGTACTGTTTTCTCCAGTCTTTAAACACTGCCAGAGCCCAAACCCTGTTCCCATTAGTGTTCACTTCCTGTTTTATTGGGGGGAGATTTCACTGCAACACACGATATATTATCAGTTCCTGTATCATCATTCCCGTACTGTTGTTCCCAGTCTTTAAACACTGCCAGAGACCAAACCCTGTTCCTGTTAGTGTTCACTTCCTGTCTGTCTTCTTCTGTCGATTTATTTGACATCCAACTGTGTCTTTTAAGCGTCTTTCCTTCTCTCCCATGATCCTCCAAGCAACGGTCATTATTTTGCTTAGCAACGGTGTGTTATCGAATATTAACAACCTCTGAAATATCCAAATGGTCCAATCACAATCAAGTATTCAACCAAGCCGTGTAATAACACAGTATACAGTAATTTGTCTACTCTACGATATTTTATTTTACTTTCTTATTCTATTAATATGTACATACGTATTTTGCTTAATCTTGCAAATTACTTGTACTATTGCACTATTTTATTTATTTTACTTTTGTTATTGTATGTTTCATTATTCGAGGAGCCTGAGACTCAAGATTTTCGTTTCCAAAACTTAGCTGTAGCTGTTTTGAATATAACAAAGCCTACTATCTTCAAACTAATTCCAAGCTGTCTTTTTTTTTTTAAAACCGTTTCTCCATCTTCTTCTTGTCCCCTCAGCTCGTCCTCATCACCACCGCCCGCCCCCCTCAGAGTCCCCCGACCACCCGATGGGTCCCCCCAGCGGCCTGGTGCCTCGGCCCGGAGACCTCCCCTACCTCATAGTTGGTATAGTCCTGGGAGCCTTCGTCTTCATCATCGTCGCCTTCATCCCCTTCTGCCTCTGGAGGGCGTGGGCCAAACAGAGTGAGTGCTCTTCTCAGGTCTTTTTTTAGTCATTTATATATTTATATATTTACTAGTTCTGTCACACGTTAAGTGTAAGGCTCGCTGAGACATGGATTCTTTAGCTAAGCGTCGAATGTTCGGACTTATAATAAGTAAATTATGAACTAGCCAATAAGTAAAACAAAAAATGATATTACTAATTTGTCATGCATTTCTTTATTAGAATACCAAATATGTTTTCGTTTTATCTTCTTCCACAATACAACGAAATGAATCAAAGATTATAATTGTGATTTAAACCACCAGTTTTTACCTCTGCATCTGTGTAATTTATTTTTCTTTGCGTTTATTTCAGAGCAAATGTCGGACCTGTGTTTCCCCGCGGTGGCGGCCCCCGGGTCGTCCTGTCAGTACACCATGGTTCCCCTGCAGGGCCTCGCTCTGGTTGGCCACTGCCCTCTGGACAGTCGCATGACCGCACCACATGGGGTCTACCCGGCTAACGGGGAATGCATCGGGAACGGCAAACTTCACCACAACACACACTGCCTGCCAGGCCTGCAGCAGGTACATAACAGCCCATTAAACTGTATGTTGTTAATGAGCTCTTCATGTTATGGGTGGAATATTTCATTTATATGTTTGTGTGTGTTTTGCAGGACTGTGACATGGAGTGTGACACGCTGTTACCACAGATGGGGTCTAACGGACATCTGCCTGTTTACCTCTACTCCAACAGGTGCGTTTTCATACAACACTCATATATACAGTATGTACTGAAATGTGCTTGTGGGTTATTATGAAATATTTGATTAAAAATGTGAATTATACACATTTTTGGTCACTGACTATTAATCTAAAGACTTTGTTCATGTGCAATCAAATAATATTTGATTGTATTAAAATGTTGACTGAGTTAAATCATATATTTGTAGTAAAAGAAATGCCAACCTAGCTTTTCTATAAACACCTTATTTCTTTCGTTCCTCAGAGGTCCAGACCATCATGAACATAGTTGCTGTCCTGCAGATGACTCCACTCTGCAGCTCCTCGACTCTTCCCATCAGCCCCTGGGTTCTCAGGAGCTGGGAGGAGATGGAGACTTTTATGTTGAAGATGAAGCCGAGGATGACGTCAATTACAGTACGAGTGGACTCTTACCTTTGTCGATCTAACAACATCTTTTAACCAATGTCTTGCATGTGTTTATCCTCATTTTTTGAACACCACAATCACATATTTCTGACCCGCTTTTTTACCCTCTTTTTTTTTCTGCAGAGCCAGCCTCCTTTCCTCTTCTCTCTCTGGAAGACGAAGGGATTTTCACCACGCCGTCTTCAGCGGCCACGACACCGCAATCCCAGGACAACACCACGATACAGGAAGTGAACATCCTCCCAAATGAAGCCTCCCCCGAGGGCGAAGGGACAGCCAACACAACAGATGCATAAAGAGACTGTTCAGCAGAAGAAAACAAGAGAAAATATTTATTTTTGTATCACAGATATTTATATATTTATGCTTTTGTACATAGTCTCTGGTTATACTGTATATAAGGTTATTTTCACATTGAAAAAAAGGCTCTTGCTGATCTGTTTCTGCGTTTCCTGGGGAGGGAAATATGTTTTTATTCCTTGTGTGAAGATCAGCCTTAAGTCTGCAGAGGATTCCTCGCAGCTCAGCACTTCATGTCTCCTTTCCTCGCACCATTCCTCCCTTTCCTCCATCCTTAGATAACTCGCTTTAAAGGGACCATTGGAACCAGTCTCACGCTGTAATTATAAGGCGCTTCATCGCTTCTGTTTCTATAGCAATAACCCATGTATTATGCATTGTTCATCATTAACAACCTATTAACAAGTGTATGCAACATAAGTCTGTTTCAGTAGTGTACAAGAGATTATATATTGTATAGTTATTTATTTTTTTAAATCACTGAATGGGAGAGATTCTGGAAAAATATCTTTAACTCTTAAAGTCATCGATAAGCTGAACTTGATACTGCAACCACGTCTGTGTTTACTCATTAGCTGGTTACCAAATGACGGCCAGGTGAGGGCTGTGACAGGTGTGTCAGTATTATTCCTCCTCACAGGTCCAAGTATTAGTCTTTGCCAGAGACATCTGCAATCGAAATGAAGGAGATCCTGAATCTACGTCCCTTTATCAGTGTGGCCGCTCTGTGGTTGCACATGCTGGAGCACTATTGCATGTAAATAAAAGCTTATAAAATTGACAAAGACTTTGGTGCATCCTTTCAATCTTGGTACAATTTCAGTATGCCCACTGTGGGGGAAACTTCTGAAGCAATAGGAGTCAGGACTCAGAGAGACACGAGGAGAGCTTGAGCTTTGATGGCAAACACTGACGGTTTATTTGGAGCTTCGGCCGGAGAATTCACAAGACAAGTCACGGGCCACGGTTTGACCACACGGTAGAGATGCCACAATCAATTCTGAAGAACCCTCCTGTAGCTCCAGGTTTGAACTAGTTCCGAGTGTAATAATCAACATTCTTTATCAGTGAGACTAAACCAATATGGACCCTGAATCTAACTAGAGCTGTCGTCCATAGGAAAGAATGTGCGCCAGGGAACCTACGTCCCTGAACAGTAAACTACCTCATGGCGGCTTGTGCTCGGTCATAGACTGGCAACAACAATGCGCCCAAGCTGCCCCTCCTTAAGAGAGATAGCAGCGATACCCAAGGCCGTAGAACTAGCCTATGCCATGAGAAAGGAGACAGTGAAAAGAGAAAATTATGAACTGTGTCGAAGGGTGAATACCTAAGTAAATTATTCCCCAGCCCACCCATTCTGCTTTTTGGGGTATTTACCTTTCCTGTAGTGTGTTATATAGATTTGTGGATGTAAATAGTTTGCAAAGGCTAAAAAGTGTGTTATCACTAATGATAATGTGCACAATCACTAGTGTTAAGGTGAGAATGTATGTGGGCTATTGTCGAGGAAACGTGTTATCCCTAGTGTTAAGGTAAAAAATAACGTGTGCTAAATCGGGAAAATCCACGTGTGTGTTATTACTAATGTTAAAGGAGCCCTATTTGATCCTTTTTTCAGGTTCATATGTTTCTGGGTTGAAAAGAGGTGCTGCAGCACAGGCAGTATGAGACAAAGAGCTTTTTGAACATTAAAGCATGGAGACATGTCACAGGAGAGACACTACATACTGATATGATGCCTTAAAAAATTGTGATTCGAAAATTCTACGCTTAGCTATGTTTTACAGTAAAACAAATCATTTGCTGTGTAATTTCCTTCTACAGATGTGGCAAGTTAAGTTTAAAATCAACTCTTGGTAGAGTCAAGTCACCACGACAACCACTAATCTCCATTGTGTCTCACTGGTGGATTTAAAAACAACCTCCCAGAGCTACAACAAACTAAAGTCAGTGACAGAGTTCAGGTGCCCTCTAGTGGAAGAATAAACACACACTGTTCTTCAGTTGGCATCAAATACAAATGTATTCTTATAAACTTTATTAATCAATCTTGTATTTACAAATACATACATAATCTAGCAATTCTGATATGAAACATTGTTATTTACAAAATAGCTCTTGGGGAAAAAAAACATTCTGTACAATACAACCTGATATAAGTTAGTAAATTACATCGGTGGGTAACTGCAGGTTTCTTACCGACCCAGAAACATTCAATTCATTAAATGTAATGTTTTAATACCAAACAGTCAGTTTAACCAACAAAGTTTTTGAAATATTACAACTTATAACTTCGGCATCATACATATGCCAAAAAATTGAGATTGTGAACATGTAAACAATCAGACGGACATGGTGTCTTCAGCACCGCTTTGTGAACGTTTAAAAAGGAACATATCTTGCAGAACATGTTGACAGAAAGCAGCAGAGTCTCCTCACACGGCCGAGCTGCCGTCGTGGCCCAGGATGTGGCTGATGTTGTGCGCCGGGCGGTTCGGCTGCTTCCCGGAGTCTGAAGCCGAGGTGTTGGAGAGAGACAGCAGGGGAGACATGGGCATGGCCGAGCCGTCAGTGGGCATCCCGGTGGCGATTTCAGGGAACAGCGAGGTGAGGCTGAAGTTGGAAATGTGCGGGGTGATCCCAGAGGAGTTGGCGATGGGCATAGGAGGCATATCAGGAAGCAAGGGGAAGCTGGCCTGCCCGAAACCAACGGGGCGAGGCGGCGAGAGGATGGAGCCGAAGCGGTTGTTGAGCGGAGCGGAGCTGCCCTTATCTGCACCCGGGCTGGTAAACATCTGGTTGGGAAAGTACTGAAGGGTGACGTCACTGGGGAGGCTGGGGTGAGCGGCTGGAGAGTAAGAAGGGTAGAAGGAGGGTAAGGTGTTCTGAGGCTCCACGGGGAGGAGGGAGGGAGTTCGGGAGGAGTTGGGCTGGCTGACGGGAGGGATGAAGGTGGAGTTGGCGTTAATGGAAGGCGGGGGATTCATGCCTCCTTCTGGAATAAAGGGGAAACCAAAGTTCTGTGAGAGGTGTTGGTCAGGAACCAGGTTGTTGTCGCCGGGAACCTGAGCGCCGTCTGCCATAAAGCGGACGATAGTGCTGCGCCTCCCCTCCCCTCCAGACTGCGGCCTGCCCAGCAGCACCCCCCCGCCCGAGGGGAGGGGCAGGTGGCCCTCAGGCTCAAAGGGGTTGCTGTGCCTCAGAGCTCCCGATCGGGGCCGGTCCCCAGGTCTTAGCTTTGTAGGTTGAGAGTCTCTGTTTAAGTGGCGGGAGTGCTGGCTGACAGCAGAGGGGGGTCTGGAGGGTGCAGAGGAGCGGCCTGGCTCAGAGCTGCTGTGAGGGGGGGGAGGGTGGGGGAGGCCTGGGCGCACACCTCCATGCATATTACTGCTGACCTGAGATATGTGGCCCTTGTTGCCCTCTCCGAGCCGCATGGCCTTCTGAGTCTGGGGGACGCTGGGGCTTTTGGCCTGGATGTCTCCTGCCGAGCTGACGCAGCTGTACTCCATGCTGACGGGGGGGCAGCACTGCACTCGCTGGTGGTTGCTCTGCTCGGGCAGGTGGGGGGACAGGAGGCTCTGCATGAAGCTCTGGTGACACACTTCCTGTCCGACCTGCACGCCCTGTGAGCCGGGATGAGCGGCACTGTAGCGGTTCCTGCCGTCTGATTGAGGGCCGACGCCCATCCTGAAGCCGCCCTGCTGCTGCCCCTGAGGGCCCCTCTGGGACGAGGGACCTGACTTAGGCACCATGTCACTCCCACGGGACACCTGGACCTCAAACCCACCCAGCTGATGTCCCCCTCCTCCCATAGCTTTGAAAGGCGGACACTCAGAGACCCTCTGAACATCGGCTGATCCCGGATGCTCAGCAGTGAGGCGGTTCTGTGGGTTGTGAGAGATGTTGGTCTTCCCCCGTGACGAGTCCAGGTAGCCGCGCAGGTCCGGCTGCTGGAGCCCCATGCGTTGCTGCTGCTGCTGCTCCCCACTGCTGGAGGTTTTACCGATGAGCGCCTCCGCAGAGTAGCTGGAGACGCGGTGGCGCTCTTGCCGGGACGGAGCGCAGGACGGGTCGGAGGAGGGGCGGGACACCGAGTTACTGGGAGACGGGATGAGCTGCTGCTCCAGAGTCCTTGTGCTCATCATCCTCTGCATTGCATTATGGTCCTGACCAGGCTGAGGGAGGAACAAAGTACAAAGAAAAGTCTTATTAGATATAACTTATCATCGATCTTTATCAACATATTCTCCCAACGGTTCCGAAGGATGTATATCTTACCACTGACAAGATAAAATAATTGTAATCATTTTGAACTGAAGTTATTTATTATAATATATCATGATTTTTCATTCTTATCTCAACTGCAGCTATGAGCGCTGGGCCGCATTTTTTTTAATGCAAGGCCCAGGACAGAGAAAAAGCTCCTACGCAAGCAACTTCAGGATTATTTTATGCTGTGGCAGAGTGAATGTGATCCGCTGCGGTGGCTTACTACAACAAAGCATTTCAAATGTACCAACCAGTCCAAAAAATATGAGCATTCCTGTCTTGATTTAACCCATTTGAGTGATTTGACTAATACAGTTTGAGCGCTGAACATGCCAGTTGCATACTCTACTGACACTACTATGATCCCATCCTATCAAATCAAACTGTCTTTGCATCAACCATGTGACACCCACCTTGAGGTGCTCCTGCGGGGCCAGGTGTCCGCTGTGGTGGCCCCTGGATCCTGCAGCCTCACAGCTCTTCTCCTGGTGTCTGAAGTGCTGCTGCTGCTGCTGCTGCTGGATCTGCTGCTGGAGGTGCTGCTGGTGTCTGGAGTGAGAGCTCTGCTGCTGCTGGATCTGCTGCTGCTGCTGCTGCTGCTGCTGCTGCTGCTGTTGTTGTTGTTGTTGTTGTTGCTGCGTCTGCTGTTGGTGTGTCTGCTGTTGGTGCTGTTGGTGCTGAGACTGTTGGTGTTGCGTGGGCTGTTGATGCTGTTGGTGTGACTGTTGTTGGTGCTGCTGCTGTGTGTGTTGTTGGTGCTGTTGTTGTTGGTGTGAGTGCTGCTGAACTCCAGACTTCTCCAGGTGGTGGGGCTTCTGCTGCAGGTTAGCAGATGTTTGACTTCCTCTGACAGGCCCCCGCTTCTTCTGCACATGCTGCTCCTGCTGCTGCTGCTGGAGCGCCCTCTGGTGGAGGGGGTGTCGCTGTGCGGGGTCCGGCTGGGTCAGGTGGTGCTGCAGATGGTACAGGTGGTGTCTCTGCTGCTCTTGCTGCTGCTGTTTCATGTACAGGTTTCCTCCCAGGTGCTGGCCGGGCTGGGTGTGCTGAGGGTGACCCTGAGGCAGGTGGAGCACCCCCGGCTGGTTCTGCTCTTGAGGAGCGCAGTGGCCCTCCGAGGGCCGAACCACGGGGCTCATGAAGGAGTTTGTGGAGAAGAGAGGGCCTCCACTTTCTGGGTTAATCCTTGTCATGATGGATGAGGATGTGGGGGGAATCTGTCCCACCATCATCTGGCTGTGGTCCGGCACTTTGACATCCATATGGCTGACGGTGGGAGCAGACAAAGGGCAAGGCTTGGGCCGTTTCCCGGTGTTCAGCATCGCCTCCTCCTGGGCCTGCCGCTTGGAGATGATCTTCGCTTGGCGCTCGCCGACCCCGACTCCGGCCCTCATTAACGGCGTCTTTAAGGGGGTGAACTCGTTCAGCTGGGCTGCGCCTGAGCAGGGGGAGAGGGCGTTGTTCAGGGGTTGGGATATGTGGGTTCCTACGGGGGACGGGACCGAGCCCTGT